AAATCCTAATTTCAACAACAACAACTGGTAGCATTACAGCATTTCACAAGTACATGTACTAAGTGACATATAAATCCGAACACCCAGTTTAAATGGTTTAATTTTAATAAAAGTTGGTGAATGTATTTATCTTACTGTAAATAACAAGTGGTTTTTATACTGCTTTTTTTTAATTCACTAACGCTCTAAAAATGAATATTTCAGCCGCAGTAAAGAATCAACGTTGGCGGATTTCGGTTCTTGACATCCTTTACGATCGGTTACGATGCCTAGAGTACGGAGACCTGTACGATTTCGTCAACTTAGTGAGTTTGATAGGGGCAGTATAGTGCGACTTCGGGAAGCTGGACTTTCTTTTCGGGCAATTGCAGTTAGAGTGCAAAGAAGTGTAGACACTGTGGTTAGGTGTTGTCAGGCATGGCTTCGAGAAGGCCGTACGCAAAGAGCAAGGGGCACTGGGCGCCGCCGTAGAACAACAGACCGTGAAGATCGCCGCCTAAGATTATTGGCCTTAAGGGACCGTTTCTCCACTACCGGGTCCATTGCAAATGAATGTTTTGCAGAACACGGAAGACCTTTTGGCATGCGAAGTGTTTACCGACGAATGAGAAGTTTTGGCTTGTTTTCATACCGGCCACACTGGGTCCTCCCTTTAACTCGAGAACACCGACGTAATCGCCTTGAGTGGTGCAGACAACGGTCACTCTGAGATCAGGAATGGAACAGTATCGTCTTTAGTGACGAGTCTCGATTTTGTTTAGGCATGCACGATGGTCGTGCCAGGGTTAGAAGGCGACGTGGTGAAAGGAGGAATCCACAGTTTTTTGTTGAAAGACATGTTCATCACACTGTTGGAGTTATGGTTTGGGGTGCTATAGCTTATGGTTCCAGGTCACCTTTAATCTTCATCAGAGGTAACATGAACGCGCAGCGTTATATCCACGAAGTTCTAGAACCCCATCTTTTACCCTATCTTGACACCCTGGCAGATCCAACTTTCCAACAAGATAATGCCCGACCACATGTTGCAAGAGTCACAATAGACTTCTTTCAACATAATGATGTCACATTGTTACCATGGCCACCAAGATCCCCCGACTTATCCCCAATTGAGCACGTCTGGGATATGATGGGTAGGAGATTGCTCAATTTGCAACGTCCTCCTCAGACTCTAGAAGCAATTCGAGAGGAGTTGGTGGTTGCCTGGAATGGGATACCACAGGAGGACATTGACCACCTGATCAGAAGCATGCCTAGGCGCGTTGGAGAATGCGTAGCACATCAGGGTGCATCCACACATTATTAAAGGTCAAAGGGATTTGAAGCAGTGCAATCATTTTGAAACTTTTATCATTTACTTATTATGCTTCATTAAGTACTTATACAAAATTTTATTAAAATAAAACCATTTAAACTGGGTGTTCGGATTTATATGTCACTTAGTATACATATATATTCACATATAATAAATTTAACAAATTCTGTCAGATCTTATGATAAGTGCTTTCTTCAAATACCCGACTGAGTCGACGTTTTTTATTTGCTGGGGCAACTTATTGTATTCACATAGACCTTTGTACATTATTGTTTTCATTGTACCCTTCATATTTGTTTTATTTACATGGAAATGAGTACACGTCCTAGTGTTATATGAATGGATCTCATTATTTGGGCGTAGATGCGCACCTAAATAATTAGGTAATGTTCCCTTCACAATTTTATAAATAAATAGCATCGCTGTTAAATAAAGATGTTGATTCACCGATAACCACTGTAGAGTATCCAGCACATATTCAATTCTTGTGTACCTAGAGCACTGTAAAATTTTCCGCATTCCCCTATTTTAATAATATAGTCACTATGGCTGTGAAAGTTTAAGTTTTTATTCAACATAAATCCAAGGTGTTTCATTGTATCAACTATATCAAGAACTGTCTTTTCAATTTTAATTTGGATATTAGCTTTTATTATATTCTTGTTTTTACTTCTGCTTGATATTACCATTTTGATTTTTGAGTGTTCAACTTCAATTTGTTCATTTTTAAATATGTATCAATGTTTGCAAGGTCACTGTTCACAATATCGATAGCCTCATTCAGGTTTTTGCACAAGTGTGTGAATAGATTTATGGAGCTGCTTCTCTGAACAAGTTCCATATCATTCAAATATATTATAAAAAATAATGTCCTCAAAACAGTACCCTGAGGAACTCCAAAACGTACAGAAATGGTTTCGGAGATAGAAGGACCAATCTTAGTCCTTTGACCTCTGTCACTCAAGTAACTAATTATCCATCTCAGGACAGTGCCTCCAATTCCACATTGTTTTAATTTATCTATCAATATTCGTCTATCTATTGTTTCAAATGGTCTTTTGAAATCAAGGAAGACTGCAATTACATAGTTATTGTCATCAAAAAGTTTCATCCAATCAGTTACTGTAATTTGAAGAGCAGTTTCACAAGAGTGACCTTTTCAGAAGCCCGATTGCTTAGCCATGAGAAGATTATTGGTTTCAAAATATTCAACAATTTGTTTATGGGCACATGTTTCCAATAGTTTTTCAAGAGGTGGCAAAATATTTATAGGTCTAAAATCAGATGCTTCTTTGGAATTAGGTACTTGAGGGATGTGCGTAACTGTGCTTACTTTTAATGCATCCGGGAAAACTCCATAAGCTAGTGAAGTGTTGATAAAATTCAAGATTACATGACCAATGGAGTGCAAAGTATTTTTAAGAAGTTTAGTATTCAAAATATCTTCACCGTATGTTTTATTTTCAAATGAAAGTATAATTTCTTTCAATTCATTGAATGATATGGATCTAAATATACGAGTATATGTATACCCATTGCTTCATGCGATGGGTAGCGGCTGTGCAGCGTTGCCAGACTCTCGTGCGAGCGCGTCAAAATTATTGTACACGTAGAGTGGACTAATCCCTTAAAAAGGGGTACAGTGGTGGCCCCAGGATTTTCAGGAGGGAGGGTGTTCTAGAAATGTGTAAACGTAACGATCGAACTTAACTCAGATCCGTAGGGTCTCCTAGGCACACAGGAAGCTAGGAGCATCAAGCTAAAGTCGAATCGGCGGGGCTACTACGTCAAAAAAAAACGACAAAATGTCAACTTGCTGCTTCGATGTGCAAATAGTATATTCCCCGTGGCTAAATTGCACATAACATAATCTCTTATGAATTGGTAACAGCGGTGCATGTGAAGTGCAGAGCCAACCTATTTGACGCCATTTCTTTTAATAGATTAATCTGCCTGAAAAGCGAACCCAAATATAACTATGCCTTGAAGTACCTGGAGGAAACTACTGGGCAGTATGCTGTGTATTGGATTGCAATCTACATAATACTTGATTCTTGGCCGTTATCTTTCAATGTATTTGCAAATGTGTTCTTTGCATGGTCAGTTCATGGAATATTTGTGGGATTCGTGCATATTACTGAAACCATTGAAGCTATATGCGAGCCATCAAGTCGAAATATAGACCAGAAATATGTCAACGATTGTTTGAGATATGCTGCGAAGCAACATGCTGAAATTTTGAGGTACGGATATTTCCATGGCACCACGTACTTTTGATCTTCTCAGGTGTAGATGCGTCAACTTTTTATAACCCCGGGTTATTATATTTTCCTTGTCGCGAAAGATGGGTGGGTTATTTGACGTAATATAGTCTACAAAGTATATATTGGCTATTTTAACTCTATGTAAGGTGGATTTTTCTAAATAAATACGAAAAATTTGGCGACAAAGTTGTAGCGTAATGAGCCCTAACGACATCATAAGCTTTGAAATGTGGCCCTACCTTTGCTTAGTGATAGGAGTTTTGTCATATGTTAGAAAAATGGGCACAAACTGTAATAATTTCAGTTATTAAAAAAGCAAGCTGGAAGTCTAATCGTATTTGACCAAAAATTCTCTGGTACGCGAAGTAGCTGTGATGGTTGTTCAAGAAGTTATTTAGAATAGGGATGCATCAGTATTTTGTTTATGTAATCACTTTGGATTGAATCCCAAAAAACGTGTTTTATCATACTTTTTTGTTGAATAAAAAGCCTTCCTTCAAAAATTAATATACCCATTTTATGCGCTCATGTTTTGAATACCTACCTAAACAACTTGCCCTGGTAAAACAAACATTATGTTTGTTTCGGGGAACTTTTCAAAATAAACTTTCCAAGACTGCGTTTAATTCTCCAGTAACATATATTTAGAAAAGAACTCAAAAATAAGAAGTAAAAAAGGACAAACATTAAAACATTGTGAAATAAAAAAATTCATGGACTGAGATATACTAAACATCATTTATAGACAACAAGATTTTTAACAGCAGTATTTCAGTAACTTTGGTCTTGTATTTTTTAATATTCCAGGACAACTCGCACATATGACGAAAAATTTAGATATGAGATGGTGACGATATCATTCTATATAGTTTTTTCAGTAACTATCTGTGTCTACTTAGTTATGACTGTAAGTTACACTTATCTCTATACTCATGCCAATGAAGTAAAATAATGTATATGACATCTGACCCATTTCAAGGGATCCTAATAACACATGTTTTTTAGAAAAAATTTGCCATCATTTCCTAGATACACGGTGGTATCATTGTCGTCGTCAAATAACATTTTAGCCCTTTTGGCTAAGATTTGTTGAAACTTACCAGATACAGACGTATTACCGAAAATGTGACTAAAATTATCTAACCAATTGCTTTACTACATGGTACCAAAAATTTTCATCGAGATCTACAAAGCAGGATATCTAGAATTTTAGAGAAATAAATCAATACTTAGAAGTAAATGGGAAGGTTCTATACAGGGTTTACCACATAGAACCGCAGCGATCGATTACTCGAAAGCTTAACTAATATGAGGCATACGGCTGAAATGTTTTAAAAATTTTTGAATTGAACACCTTGTATGTCATTCTTTTTTTGCATCTTCCAACTTTTTGGGAAATATGAAATTTTGTGTAAGAAAATGACAAATGCAGGTTCATAAAAGCCTATTAATTTATCGTATATATTTGTGCTTGTCGAACGATTTATGACTGGTCCCTTATAGAAGGAAGTCTTCTTTAGTATACTTCATTTGATTCCTTAATAATTAATAATGACATGGTCAAAAGATGGTTGAAAATGTTGGTTCGTCGCGAAGGCCACTGCCGACTGTGCAAGGATGAGAAACTCCAACTGGCCTGCGGTGGTGCCGTCACTGAGACAGGAGAAATATTTACCTGTTTTAGCAATATTTCGTTTGATTTTTTTACCACGCTATATTATAATTATTCTATGAGAAACATCGTTGGACAAGGGCAAAAATATACAAAATACTAACAGGCTTTTATGGACCTGCGTTTGTGATTCTTTACACAAAATTTGATATTTCTCAAAAACAATTGGCTAGGTATTGGTATGTTATACATAGAATTTTGTGAAGGTTTCAAAGTTTGAAAGATGTGCATGGTGTTCGATTCAAAATAGCAACTTGATGCAATCAAGTGCCAACATTCTGACAGTATTTTAGTCACGCATCTATTATACCATAACCCAAAATTTTCATAACTATCTCACGTCACCACTCCGAGTAATCGATCGCTGCAGTTCTTCGTGAGACACCCTACCCTGTATATAGCTGTATAAATATTCAATTGACTGTGGCGATTAACTTTTCGTTAAAGAAATTGCCAAATTACGGACGTATTATTCGAAAAAGTTCATGACAGGGAATATAAAATAATAGCCAAAAAACCTTTGTTGTAATTAACATCCAAGAATTTAAGATCTCGTTTTAATCGAAATGATGACTTCAACTCCATGTATCTCGGTAAATGACCATTTTGTCATCTTATTTATGCTCTATAAATATTTCTACTACATTCTATGCAATGGTATATTAACGTTTTTCCTTAAACCCCTCTTCACTCAAAAAATTAACACTTTTTATTTGTTTTTAAGGCAGATGGTGGGCATTACTACTTTATGACAATACTGGTGATATGGGTATCATCAGCTGTACTGTTCTTATATTATGCACAAAAATATTCTGATTCTGTAAGTAATTAATCGTTAATTTTATATGTCAGTGACATTTTTACACTTGGTCGGATAGACGCAGCATCCTATTATTTTAGGCGAATGAATTTTACGTGTTCCTATGTAACCTACCTTGGTATACCTGGAATGAAGAGAATAAAAAGTTGTATTTGACTATACTTACAAACTCCAATCATGGCGTGGCGATTTATTCTCTGTTATCCAATAGCCATCTGAACTACGCTTACTTGAAGGATGTGAGTAGTTTTCATAGTAACCGTGAGATATTAGACATACTGTAACCAAAGTCCCTCCCAATAGCAGCGATGCAATTTTGGCAGGTAAGGCGGTGCTAGCGTTGTTGGAGGTACAAACTGTAAAAAGTAGGTATAAAAAAACAGATAGAATGGTAACCTATTTTTCACGACATTTTATCATATTTTGATGTCTATTGACGTGATCGACAGATCAACAAACAATTGACAATATTATTGTCTGTTTATCACCTTAGACATGACCCTGAGCTAAACTAGCACTATCTACTTCTAGCTTACTAAGTATTCCTCCATTAGTAACTAAAACAACAGTTCCTTACATTTTAGCTGCCACTAGAGCTCTGTCTAGGATCCACAAAAACTTTTCTAGCTAGGCAGTATCAGGACCTTAAGAGGGAAACATTGAAATAAGTTAATATACAATATAAAAAATCTAATTCGTGTACCTTTCGAATTATGGGCTTCAAAAAACATCGGAAAAATCTGCACCCTGTGATCATCTTTTAGCTTCCACTTTTAATTTTCATTTTTTTCTTAGACGACGGACGAGTGACACTCTACGTAGTGACAGCAAGACAGATAATAACGCCACATTTATCAATCCATGATTGTGTAGTGTGACCATGTCTATGTACACCATACAGGAATTAATACGCCAACTTGCACCTCATTAATGAGGTAGATACAATGCTAGTGCTGTAGCTAGGTTTTATCGAGAGGTCCCCAAGCGCCGCTCGTCATCCCGATCACCGAGTTCTTGTGAATGCCCACGTTTACTCTCAGGTGGACGATTCCCAAATCAAGCACATGGTGAAGGAAGAGTTTCCTTTCCTCACGTCGAACTACAAGCAGTCGAAGAAGACCTTAATATTCAGTACGTTAAAGAGAAGCAAGCACGGGAGTGCCCAAAGGTACAGCCCACCGAACCTTGCGAAAGAACGAGCTCCACCTGTACCACGTAGAGCCAGTAGTACAATTTCTACAAACCCGAGATTATCTTCCATAAAAATGTTACGGAGACACCACAAGTCGAAATTTAAAAAAGATGGTTACATGAATCTACACAAGACAAGATAGATGACAGTATCGTTTTGAAGTAAACATTCGGACTGGGATTTTAAATGGGAGAGCCCTTGTGCCCTTTGAGCTGACACAGTTCTTGAATAGCGACTTTATACAAAATCATTTACTAAATTTATCGGCGTGCCACTAAGCATTAAGAGAGACATGTTAGTCCAAGAATCTTAGCAAACATCTCGTAAATAATTGTAAAGTCGGGTTTTATTGATTCTAAAGCTATTAATATTCTATACGTCTGTTTTCGAAATCCTGTTCGATTAATACGACTGTGAGTTCAAAATGTTGGAAAATAAACTCGAGAAAACGAAAAACAGTAGACAAATAGGTATCAACCACTTGTAGGGAATTGACCGTCTTAAAAATTAGGCAAAATGCTCGTTATTAGTCCCTAATATGCTATTTAAAGATTCACCATTGTACCCTGTACAGTTTTCAAGAGTACTGCAATTGTTTATAACAGGTTTGATATGTCGCCAACGTTCGCTTCACATTTGTCAGTGTCAGGTATAGTCGAATCGTAATGGGAAAGGCTGACGATTGCAGAACCGCAGCACGGAGGTTCGAATCTACGAAGCTCTTTTTTCTCTGTCATTTGGTCTCATTTTTTAGTTCTCATAAATACGTAAAAATCTTATTTGAGATTTTTCGTTCCTGTGAATACTTTGGACTGAATCCCAAAAAAGGGATTTTCTAATCCTTCGTTGTCAATAAAAGTTTTCCCACAAAAATTGGTGTACCCATTTTATGCGTCCGTGTTTTAAATGCCCACTTGAACAACTTGCATAAATTAAACCAAACAATTATTTCGCAAACCAGGGGTATTTTCGTCTAATATGATTAGACTATGTGGTACCAAGCAAGCCCGATAGGATAGGGCGATCTATACAATTGTGTGGCCGCCGTTCAACTAACTTGAATCCACTAGAGGTTTTTAACTGGGAAGCGGTGAATAGTTTACTCCAAGTCAATCGAAAATTTAGCCGAGCTAAGGGACAGAATAACGGAAGCAGCTGAATTTGTTAATAACGGAAGATTCGCCCGCCTGATAACCCGATCATCTTTAAGAATATGTCAAAATTGCATTGCCGCTGAAGGAAGGCAGTTTGAACAGTTATTGTGAATTTAATAAATACATTCACGAAATAATAAAAGTGGCGTTACAATCTGTCACTCCGTAGAATGCCACTGTCCATCAGTTCGTCCAAGGAAAGATTGAAATTTCTAGTAATGGAAACTAAAAGATCATCACAAGGTGTAGATTTATACCATTTTTCCCATTTTTTCAAAGCCTATAATTTGAAAACAACACGATTAGATTTTTTTATATGTTTCTGATAACTATTATGACTTGGGTTATCCCTTGTTTCCGGTTTTACGTAGACTTCTGCGACACCCTTGCATTGAAAAGACCGTTTTTGCTGTCCAAAGTTTAAGTAATACCTCTACACTAATTTATAACCCAGCTAATTAATTAGATATTTATAACTTGTCGACTGGGCTATGTTGACGTGTTGGTCACTGCTCGTCCACTGGCTCAACTATGTCCGTGGACTCGCCTGTAACTACTTGGTTCAGTCATCTGGTCGGGTTTTATTTCCCTATTGACGAGTCGAGAACCAGTTCCGCGTTTCCCAAGCCGCGTTGCATTAGCAGTAGATATATCTCGAACCCCGACCAAAACTTCAAGATATCACCGCAAGCGCACACGCACAACCGCTTAACTGGTTGCCTAAGCGTCTACTCTGCAAAGCCGTCCCATCGTCACTAAAAGTTCCAGTTACGATGGCGTTACAATATTAATTTAATTTTAATTAATCTAAATAATGCCATTAGCTGTGTTATACTAAGCGGTTTTCTCAACATAAAGCAAAAACGTACTGAATAGAGAAAGATATCACTGCCGTTGGAAGGAGGCATACTTATACTCGTATTTATTAGAGACGTCAGATTAAAGCTATTATATAATCAATGACTGATGTATCTATCTGGATTGAAAAACCTATACTAACAATATTGTTTCCCTTATTTCAGCTTTTCAATGCTATCTATACCCTTGCCTGTATAGGATGCAAGAAGGAGTAGTTTGATGCAGCAATACCATTAACCTCTACTATTAGGTTACGCATGGCTAGACTTCAGAAGGAAATAGAAAGAAAATTAGCATGAAATAAGATTTTGAAAGATCTAGGGATAGTGCACTAGCTTATTATTGACCCGCACTGTATGATATATTTATGAGAACTGTAGATTGTAGGTGCTCTTACTCGGTTAAACTCTTTCATCATGCGATTGAAGAGAACATTTTGTGGTTGTGCTGTTGCTTTTCAAATAAAGGTTAAACGCATTACGACTTCTCCGATATTCGATTGTGAAACTTGTACATCAAGAAATCAAAATGTACCAATCCATCGCATATGTTAATACATACAGGTACACGGTGCGGCAGTATAGCCTTATCTTTTCATCTTAACAAAACCCATTGTCTGAATCAAAATATTTTTATCTGTTTTCTGTAATGTAGGCGCATGTTTTGTTTTGCATAGCTAAAAAAGCATCATGACTTTTGCCAGAATCACAGGTATTATGTTTGCAATTTCTTCCTGGATGGTTCATATAAACATGGAATTTCTAGAAACCCCCTAGAAAGAATCACAAGGAGCCAAATCGGGAAAGCAGGCTGATCACTCCAAATCGCACCTAATTGAGATGAGGTGCTCTGGGAAGTGTTCCCTCAAAACTGCTATCGATGCTATTGAAGTAAGTGCCACTGCGCCGTCGTGTTGGAACTAAGTATCCAACTCATCTAGCCGTAGAAAAAAATCCATGTAACATGTTTACATACGTCCAGTAATTCCAGCTGACCAAGTTGGACTCCACACTGTGTCTTTAGGTGAATGCAAAAGCATTTGATGCAATTCTCCAGGATCGGTGTCAGCACAGTCTCGCATGTTTTGTTTGTTGACGGATCCACACAAGTGAAAATGGGTTTCATCACAAAAAAAACACCAAATTCAAGGAACGACTTCGAAAAGACGCTCACACGCATTCATGGGAGAATTTAAGTCACGTTCAGAAAGTGTAGGGGCAACTGCCATCTTGTAAGGATGGAAATAAAGATTATCATGAAGAATGATGACCGAACGATCGGGAAATTCAAGGGCAGACGCACCTACGTAACAATTGATTTGCGGTCCCGGACAGAGGCCAACAGTTCTACACTAAGGCGATTACAGAACATCCGCTCGGCCCAGGCACCATCTTGCCACTTTTACGCTAAAATGTAATATTGATGCATTAATTTCATTAACCCAAATTTCAGCTTGCCAACTTAACCCGTTCAAAAAATAAGTAGGGTGGGCCTTTTTGAAAGGCACTGTATATAGTTGTAACTCATTTTAATTATACATAGAGACATATATGTAGATATAATTAACAAATCACAATTTCTGTCCATTCTATATTTATAAAGCGTGGAACCACTTGATACATTCCTTTTTCCTCTGTTGTTATTGCACCTGATCAGCTATGACACAGAGCTTTGAGAAACTTGCCAGCCCCCACCTGCATTTTTTTCACAACATCTAGTTACTTGAGCGATGATTGTGAGTTAACTCAATGTTACATTACACTGATGATCGCTACTGCTATTAAAAACGCGATACTCTATTTTAGGACTACCTCATTCAATATGTAATAAATGGATAAATGGAAAATCATCAAGCAACGTACTGTTTACTTAATAGTATGCTACACTAATATTCTGGGATTCGTTGATACGGAAACGATGGGTACTTGTTATTTACTAAAAATAAAAGGGACCTGCTGAAGAATGCTTTCCAAAAAGGTCCTCCTCCACCTATTTTTAGGTGGCAATCTGAGAAACGGAATGATGAAATTGTGATGCATAGTGACCTTTCGGGTATTACGAAATCACTAAAGAGGGCGGATTGGGGTCGTCGCATGATTTATTTTTGATGACACCGGGAATGGGGGGGGGTTCAGATGTCTATTATACAGGGTTATCCAAATTAAGTGTCCACCATTAGTAACTTTGTTATTAGTGAAAATACAAAGTTGTTTGGATTAGCAAACTAGTAGCATTTTTAACGCTGGTAAAAATGAGAAATAAAAAAAAAAGAGAGTCGTTATTTTGATTTTTTTCAGTAAAATAACATTTTTTTAAATGGAAACCCCTGTATATTATATTTTTTTCTGTTAAAGCATCAAATTTTAAACAAAAAAGCTCACAATAACTTTTCTCCTAGGTTACAAATTGTTGAAGTTATGGCCTCCAATCTGAAACAATTAAATTGTATCGACAAACTTTATTTTCAACATCAACTTATAATCTTACAAAATACAATAACAATTTTTTTTAAAGAAGATGCTCGAAAACACCACCTTGTTCTTCAATACATTTTTGGGCACGTTTTTCAACTGCTCGAACTGTCTTAAGTATGGTCCTACCATCTATCTGGGTTATCTTTTCCCTAACTGCAGTCTTTAACGCGTCAAGGTTATCGTACCTTCGCTTGTAAATTTGGTTCTTTAAGTAACCCCACAAGAAGTAATCAAGTGGGTTTAGATCTGGTGATCTGGGAGGCCACTGTATTGGGCCATTTGTTCCTATCCACTGATCATTAAAAGTAGTACTTAGAAAATGATAAGTACCTCTGGAGTTGTGGGCAGGTGCGCCATCTTGCTGAAAATGCAGATGATGTCTACTTATAAGATCCAATTCGTCTAAGAAATTAGTCAGAATTTCTGACACAAATTCCACATATCTTTCACCAGTTAGGGTTCCCTCATAAAAGAACGGGCCAACAATTTTTGAACCAATTATACCGCACCAAACGTTGAAACTGAAACGGACTTGTGGGCCTCTTGGATGTACTAACAAAAGATTTTCTCTTGACCAATAATGGTGGTTTTTTCTATTAAACATTCCAGAATTTGAAAAATTTGATTCATCTGTCCATAAAAGGTAACGAAAGTTATTTACATTTTGGCGACAGAAGCTAAGATACCAATGGCAAAAAACAAGTCTTCTCTCTGGATCCCCTGCCAAAAGCGTTTGAACTGGTCGGTACTTATACGGAATAAATTTGTATTTTTTTAAAATCCTTTGAACAGTACCATAACTGAAATTAGAGTCCTTGAGAATATCTGCTATTGAATTCTCACGATAAGCTTCAAAATATCCAATAACTGCAATTTCCGTGGCCTCGCTTATTATGAATTCTTTTTTTGCCCTTGTTTTAGCAAAAACATTTTCGTTGCCCCTAAATTTTCGATAAAGTCTCAGAAAATATCGTTCATACGGTTGAATGCGAGCGCGATATAATTCACTGTGAATTCTCTTGCTCTCAAGGAGGATTTTCTGCACACTAAATAGCATTCTAACATATCACACTTTTCTTCATGGGAGAACATTTTTCTTTAAATTAATGACACAATAAAGCTTATAAACAAGTATTTACACTAATGTTTGACATTATTTGATTTTATCATTGTTTTCCAAAGCCTTCTAGTTGCGAGTATGTCCAGTTTAACAATTTGTCGCTTATCTTAATGCTGTCAAATCGCGAACGCCATGTTGTTTTCATAGCCGTCTTAATATTATAATACTGCAAATAATTAAAAATATTTATCGTTATTTTGACTTTATTTTTGACTTTAGCGGAAAAGTCATTATGAACTTTTTTGTTTAAAATTTGATGCTTTAACAGAAAAAAATATAATATACAGGGGTTTCCATTTAAAAAAAATGTTATTTTACTGAAAAAAATCAAAATAGCGACTCTCAATTGTTTTTTTTATTTCTCATTTTTACCAGCGTTAAAAATGCTACTAGTTTGCTAATTCAAACAACTTTGTATTTTCACTAATAACAAAGTTACTAATGGTGGACACTTAATTTGGATAACCCTGTATACAATATGTTTGGTCACGACATACTTAAGAGGGGTATTTTTCAGCTATTTTTATCGACAAATCCATCCCCCTACACTGTCCTAACTCATCCCCTTGAAATGGCAGCCATTTCTATTTTTACGTTACGATTACGGTAGTGCAATTGTAATAACTGAGTACGTAAGTGTCACAGATTGATAAATTTGGTGTCATTTGAACGATGACATGTTGTCCTAGTGATTATTGAAAAACTTGTTTAGATACTAACCGTCAAACATACTTAAAAACAGACAAAGACAGAACAAAATATGGAAGAAAGTTGATTATTTTCTGCATTTCCGCATACCATTCAAAAACTAGTCTGTGAAGTTGTACTGTTTGTGTGCTAATTCTACAGCTTTTTGTTATCCTAAGTATTCTACGTTAAGCAATAAATGCTATCTAACATGGGTCAAAATGGGTGTCAATGTTTCTTGTAGAGAGTTTGGACATGTTTAATGTTACAGAAGCTGTTTAAAATGTCCTCCATTATTGGTTATGCACATTGTTGATCTTAAACAATGTGTCGTATTGAGCGGCAGACCATATCCATGTCAGCCCTAATTTCGTTCGCAGCGGTATGGATCCATTTTTAGAGGGGTTAGGTAGGACATTATAGGGGGTGGATTTGTCGATAAAAATAGCTGAAAAATATCCCCCTCAAATATCGGTATGTCGTGACCAAACACATTGTATATACGTATAATGTTTATTTTCTTACTTTTTTGAATTCCCTACAAGACTTTTATTTTGACACATAAGGCAACTATGCTTGTCTCCTCTTAGTTGGGGACTGGCTGGTTTGATATTTCTTCATGACCATTTTGAGTCTCAATTTCGAGTTTGCATTCAATGGAAATTGATTATTATCGTGTTACTGCAAAGTATGCTGGCTCGCGCCAGTAACATTATCCTGATTTCACAAACATGGTATTCAGAACATGTGGGTGAAAGCCAACGATTGCTTCAAATTGTAGGATGATCCAAAATTTTGACATAAGCGAGTGAGGGGGGGGGGGTTAAGACATTGAAGGAAGAAAGAGAGCTTTCGAACGATGTGCACATGTGGGAGCGCTGCTTCGATAATTTTATTGTTAACGTGTAACGCTTCCTTTCCGCAAAAAGTCCAGAAAAGATGGAATGCAATGAAGATTCCAACTTTTCTGCACAATCACAGAAAGGGGGTTACCATTAGCTTGCGGTAGCTCAGTCGGTGGCATGAAGACATCTACAGGCGTGTAGCTATGTGTCGACCATGGCATGGCTAGAGGATAGAAGAACAAACAGAACACAAAAATTTAACAGATTTTATTTAACAAAAAAGCATTTTCATTACATTACAATTTTAAAGAACAAAATAAGTTTTAAATCTTTGGCGCTGCTATAAAA